ACGTGCATGCTAGTTAAGTAGTGATTTTTTTTACAGGGGATGGCTCTTTGATGCAACCGCAAAGAATTTTATTCGAAAGCCGACATCCTGATGTAATTGGATTAGTATAGACTTATGCTAAAGGATGATTAGTTTTACAAGCTTGTTTGAGTAATCTTTTCGGAACGAAAACGCATTTCGGAATTTCGGTTGACATTTCGGGAGTCGACCCACCTACTGTATGTTGTGTTTACATTTCGTCAAAGCACTGATTATGAATCAAATGTTACAATCGGATTTTTTGATCGATGACGAACAGAGTAGATACGAAATTTTGCACTTTTGCACTTTGCGCATCTATGGACTTAACATATTTTCTTTTAAATTTTTGGGACATACTTACAAACTATGTTACTTTATATTTGCATATTTGTGAGTTTTAAAAGATCAGATTAGTCATCGGTTTCTTTGGGAATGTTGACTATCATAACTGTTTTGAAATTTGGGTGCTACTCGATTCTATGAGGGACATAACAAAATGCATATTATATTCCATGGCTCCATTGAAAGCAGGCAAGCTGGTTTACATTTAAGCATTGCGGATCGCAACAGCAGAGGTCGAAAGGAGTTCGACCACACCCAGGACTGCTTTGCACTTTAAGACGATGTTTTGCAAAACTTACGATAACATCGTTGCAATGGCTGACTTGTACATATACAAAGCCCAGGAAAATGGACAAGCATTAAGCAACTGACGCTAGCTGGGTAGCATCTGCTGTGTAAGCACAGTTGTTAAATTTGTTTTTGTAATTAGCGACTAACACGACCAGCCGTGTACTCTCTAGCGGACGTGCTGTAAACCAAGCCGAAATTTCTAACATCTAAGGCAGTCTCGAGGAATTGGCACGATGGTAATTATGACATACACTGGTCTCCTAATTGATAATTGGCCTATATCGAGAATTCCCTCCTTTCAGTACCGTCCGTAAGTTTGTCTCATTTATTCCAACATTCAGGAATTGCCTACCTTAGGTCCACACCGCCAAACTCGCACAGGTTTTAATCGACATGAACAGCATAGCCAACGTCGACTTTTAAAGATAGCATATTCAACTAACCTGTCTTCCTTTAAGCGCCGCAACCTTAAGCAAATCATGGCGATACTGCAGTCGCGAGTAGTCAGCCGTCAGTTTGACGTACTCCGTGCGTAACTGGGCGAACTTTTCTCCCAGTTGGGCATTGATGGCCGTTAGCTGGCAGATTTCGGAGACCGTTTTGCGTCTCAACTGCCTTCCACAGTGGCACTGCTTCTTTGCCGGCTTCCGTGGTTGCGGTGTGATTTCCTCATCTCCAAAGCCAGTGGCTTTGAGCCTTGGAGGACTTTTTTCCTCTGACTGTGCGACTTTATCCTGCTGCGGGTTTACACTTAGTCGTTGTTGTGGCGCATTCCTGTTTTGGGTTTCCACATTTTGACTGCCTCTGGGCTGCATTGGTTCATTAGTACTCAGTCTGCGGCTGTTTGGGGGTTCGGAATCTGAGCTTTCTGACTCCGATTGCGAATCTGCATTAGGCACCTCAGCTGGTTGTTTTGCTTTCTGTCGTTTGCAAAGGAAGAAGTTGTTATTTTGTTCACTATCCTCGGACTCATAGAGGGAGATGATGTCGTCGATGCTGGAAATGCCGTCCTTTAGGTGCTGGAGGAGGTTGTTCATTAGGGAGCTCGGATTTGCACGCGTCGTTTTGTGGTCAAAAATAAACTCGGGTCGACTGTGCACTCGCGGACTTTTAAGGCAACATACCGCTTGAAAAATCAATAGATTTCAAAACCCCTGACCTTCAGAATCTACACTGATAAATTGTGGTTATGCAGTCCCGCCTGATAGATACAATTCTTTTGTGGTTGAGGCGAGGGGGTGGGGTTAAGTGTTAGGGGTTAGGGTTAGGGTTATGGATTAAGGCAACTACTTATAAACCACACAAATTACAACCGCGCATTCGCATACAACTACTTGCCCCCTTCGCCTGTGCGTTTCCCGGCCCCACATGCGAAATATCCTGTTACAATTGGTCCCGTATTACAGGTGGCTGGGTTTTTTTTACCTCAGGTGAAGCTATATAATCACATTTGACTTTTACATTGGTTCTGCTAATATTTGCGTTACACGAAAACATTAGAGTACCACGCATACTAAGTCTTTCAGACATTCAAACGCTTTGACAAAACGTAGTTTGACAAAAATAATTGCCAAACAAAGCGAACTGCTGAGAGCATGTTGAATTAGAAGAAACATAAATGTTTGTCAAATTATATCTTGTCACATTTAAAAGGTAGGAGATATAATGCAAAAATAACTTGTTAAATTTAGGTGTTTTAGGCACCAGAAATACCGTGACGGCCCAAGTGCTCTCAAGCAAATTAGTGGCGCTATTTCGCACCGGTCCTTACCCGCATTCCGCATGGATGATGGCTAATCCAGCCGTATGTAGTCCCGCTGAATAGCTATTCACCCATTTCCGGCGACATAGGGGCTGTCCCAAAACCAGCCGCAATTATTTGCTTACCCTTCTAGCACACCGATTGTCTCTTTTGTCTGTTCTGTCGTTCCACTTGGTCCAGCATGACAACCCCTTTCATTTATCTGGGGAGGGTTTGGTGTCGTGGGTTTGAAAAGTAACGGCTAAACACTTCGGACGGAGTTTTAATTTCACTGTTACCTCCAAATGACACGAACTAGTTTTTTGAGTTTATGAATTTTTGTGAACTCCACTTCTGACAAGGTTTTAGGTTCGTGATTAAACATTTGGCAAGTAAGCTCTCTTTGCCAACAGCACGCACACTATAAAACATATCGCTATTCAAAGAAATGTGTGTTTCTTTTTACAAAAGGCAAAACACAATGTTGTGCTTTATGTCACTGAATTCAGCCGTTAACAGGCCTTATTGGTGTTTGTGACGTCCGAAAATGGCCCCCTGAAGGTTTAACTTTCTTTACGTGGTTAACGACGGATCCAAGAATATTACCGAGGCTGTGCTACAGTGAGTGACCGATCTTATGAAATGTTGGCTAAAATTCTGAAATGCATTTTCGATTAGGAAGGAGTACTTGGTTGCGGTTACAATACTGGTTATCTTGTGGCATACTCTTATAACATTTCGGACTCGGTACGATGTCGGCTCTTAAATGCACTTCTTTTTAATCTCTTGTAGAAGGCCTGCTCGGTAAAAAATGACTACTTAAGGAGCATGCGTTTTTCCAATTGATTTTTGATGGTCTTAGAAATTCAAATATATTTTATAGAAACCACAAGCAAAAATATGTTTTCTTTTAGTCACTCAATAGAAAATCACGTCTTCTTCATATTTTAGACTTTAGGAAGAAGTATAATTAAGTTTTAAACAAGTTTTCTAATGGCCGAATAATTTGGAGCCTGGTCATTCGTTGCATTAGTGATTTCACTCTACAAGGTGCATTCGTTCCGCGTAGAGAAAATCACATATTTTTCTATGTCATTAAAGAGATATCATACAGAGTTCATAGAATTTTGCAATGGATTCGGACCATGTTGTACATTCCATGAGGAGCAGTGGTAAACGGCCAGGTAGGATGCTATGTGAATGGACATTTCGCGGTCATAAAAAGTCTCATAATTAGAAACTTTTTTAAACCTCATTATACTCCTTCCTTAAGTAAAAATATAAAGAAGACGTAATTCTCTATTGTTTGGCTAAAAGAATGCATATTTTTGTTTATGGTTTCTATAAAATATATTTAAATTTCCAAGACCATCAAAAATCAATGCGAAAAATGCAGTCTACTTAAGTAGCCGTTTTTTTACCGAGCAGGCCTTCTGCAGGAGATTTAAAAGAAGTGCATTTAAGAGCCGACATCCTGCCAAGTTCGAAATGTTATAAGAGTATGCCACAAGATAATCAGTATTACAACCGCAATCAAGTACTCCTTCCTAATCGAAAACGCATTTTAGAATTTCAGTCAACATTTCATGAGATAGGTCACTCACTGTACTTATGTGGTTAATTTATTGTTGCACCCTTTATCTACACCTTCAACCCCAAGAGCCTGATTCCTCCAAATACAAATGGAATGGAAACTACTCTTCGGAAGATTCGCCACAGCTGCATTACTGGCGTTCTTAACGTCCATCGATGACAGAAATGTTCAGTCACGTGGCATAGGTGTGATCAGTTCATGATGGTGGCACTGAAGGCTGTGAATTGCGAGGTGCTGTTACTGGATTCTTGTGGCCAGTATATTGTGTGCATGTGGAAGTAATAAATCAAAGACAGCGAATCAGGCTCACATTTCTTCCAAAATAGGCACAGGCCTAAAATGCACTCGGTCTTTTCCTCCTAATAAGCTAACTTAACGGATTTAAAGTTGTTTTTGCCAATGTCCATCGCTCGTTAGTTTGTAACACGGTTTAGTCTCTGAATTTCAATGCGGTGCAAGTTCATCAGCAGCTTTCCAAAGACTTTAAAAAAAGCAATCTGAAATACCTTCTGTTTTGTAAACTAAATCGAGAAATTTGTGGATATAAAAGGACTTGTGATTAGTAAACTTCTGAGATGCTCATAAGTTTGCACATATAGAGATTTGTTAATGCTGTTCTAAGAATAAGCGATACGGTCAAGATCGACCGTAATATAATATGAACATTAAGGAGCCTTCTGTCGGCAGACAAAGAGACAGTTAAGGCTGGTATAGACAGATAAAGTGATGTTCAGACATCATTTGGTTTCCTTAAAAGTGTAATACTCCAAAACCCTTTAATTTCAACAACTTCCTTGCGATAGGACTGAATTACTCGAGCCATCGCTAATCATTCACAGTATGGCGTGCTTAAATAATAAGGATTTGGGCGTGTTGTTCGGCTGTCGACCGGCATTGTGTTTTATTAATGAAAAAATTTTGTCCCTTAGAAGCATATTCAACATTATGTTTTCTGTTAACGCAGTCTGCACTCTTTCCGTATGTGCTCTATCCGCGTAAAAGGAGTGTCCGGTAGTACTACCATGTTTTTGGCTTAAAATGCAAAAATACGTCTAATTAATGCAAACATCTATAAAAAAACTGGTATTAAATTTCCGTAAGTAACTGCAAAGATAGTGCAATGAAATGTATGATAACGAACATGGCGAACCTGACTGTTTAGATCCCTTGCATTCATATGGGCTCCGATCTAATCCCCTGCCAGAAAGGTCATAAGAAACCACAACATGCTTGTCCTCTGGAGGCCAAAAAACGGCCGACGGTGAAGTCACAGGGTCAACCCAGCTCTACCACGGTTGCACTTTTGTAGTCTCCCAGACGAGGCGGCGAACAAGGCAGTAAAACCTCTTTGTATGCGCAGACGCCAAATTGGCCTGTTTGGTCACATGCGACCCTTCAGGACGCCAGCTGTCTGACAGGCTCGGACGGTCAGCTGAGGAGTGGTAAAGAGGCGAGTGAGGCCACGACAAATCGGCACTGAAATAAGTCTGGCACACTTCGGCGTATAACGATGCCTGATGCGTCGTGGATCGGAGGACTGCCAACTGATCGGACATATAGGGCCTTTTGTATGTCTGTGAGCCTGGTTACAAAGCTATCCAAAGCACCTTGCAGTATTCTGGTGCATGTAGTGGAGTTCGGGTCGTTAGTGACTTGCACAGACGGGGTACTTATCGTGTTGTAATTGAAACCTGGTGGATGAGTTTAGACAGTGTGGTAGATTCTGCGTTGGGCTGTCTGATTATATCATAGTTCACTCGCTAAGCTCTACCTCACACCTGCCGCTGTGGACAGCCGAACTGTCACCTGCCATCCAGGAAAGCGCGTCAGGTAGATTTTATTCCGAAAATATTGCTCAGATAATATAAAATGACCAGTTCTTTAACACACAGAGTTGATATCGAAGTTTTAGACATGCCATATTTCAAGGGAAGGAGTGTTGCTGCCCAAATTATGGTAAACATTTTTGGAAGCAGCAATTATTAGGCGGATAGAAATGTGACTTTGAAACATAACCAAACACATGGAGGGTCAAAAAGGAAGAGCTGCATTCCATAATGCAGCAACGTATTTGCTTACAAAAGCTGCAAGCTTGTTCATGAACACAGATTTGACCTATTTCCTCTTTGTCTCTGCTCCAGTTTTACAGTCGGTTCCAAATGGAAAAAAACTCGAAAGTTTGGGGATTTTGTAGACCTTTATGCGGAAAAGACCGGTCACAGTGATGGTCACCTGCTTTCTTGCCGAGGAGGTTTACATTGGAAGGGGCAGTCCATGTCGTCGAATTTTCCGAAGCAGATCGGCAGACTCTTGTTACTCCGGGCTTTGCGTCTGCGACTGGCCGACCTAGTAAAGTCATAAACGAACCTGGCTTATATTTAAGCGACACAATTTAAACCAGTTGTTATCGCCAGGAAAAAGGTTACTATGACAACTTGAAAAGGGATTATGTTTACTCCCTGCGCATTCTGAAGAGGTCAGCCGGAAGAAACCCTGTGAACACCCCTAAGCTAACAGGCATTATGAAAAATTGCATACGCCAATTTGCATTCCGAGCGTGTACATGTTTCGTGAGTCATTCTGGTAGCTGTCAGGGTTTCTGCCAGAAAATACTGCTTAAGTCAGTATAGTGCACGAACAGTTTCAACTGTTTTTCGGGTTGCTGGCAGTTTTCTGGCATCTGCTTTTCCGCCGGTAGATGC